TGAGTAATCCAGGACATGCCTCTGCGGTCACGTAATTGGATGGCGCCAGCCGTAGAGCTCGAGGGCGAGCGGCGCTGGACGGCGGCAGTCGGCGTCGAGAAACCTATCGCGATGGGAGACAACGTCAGCAAGGAGGAACTCGGGGGCGACCTGGCGGGGGCGCAGCGGGACAACGGGTTCGAGAATGAAGACGAGGAGGAGGACCTTAGTTCGGAGGAGGCTGACGAGGAGGCGCACGATCACGAAGCCTCCGCCTCATCGGAGGACACCCAGCCGGCCTTGCCCTACCCCGGCGTCGCCAGTGGGAAGGGGAGTGAGAGGGAAGCGGCGGGGAAGGAAAGTAGCGCCTCCGGATCAGACAGAAGCGATTCCGAAAGTGAGGAAGACGGAAGTGCGTTCGGCGAAGAGGGCCGTTCGGCGGGCAGTGAAAGGGCTGCTTCGAAAGAGTCGGACGACGACGCAGAGACGGTTGAGAAGGAAATTCGTTCCTCGGAGACTGTTAGCGATGTGAACGGAAATTCCACAGACGCCGAGGATGATGGACAAATAACAGAGGTTAGAAAAGCAATATCGCAAATCCATGAATCCAAACGCAAGCATGAAGATTATGAGAGTAGTGACAAAAAAGAGGTTGTGTCCGAATCAGTCGCAGAGCCGATAGAAACAGTAGAGGAGGAGCACAGTAGCCCAAAAGGAGAAGAAATGGCAGATATATCAGATAACACTGCACCTGATTTACTAGAATCGGCGCACAAAGAGGAAGATGGGTCGGAAACTGTCGAGGGAAAAGGCGAAAAGGAAGGTGGTTCGCGCAATGTTCAAGAGAGAGCCGGAGAGGCAGCCGTGTCGGAATGCGGGTTTTCTGATTCAGCGATGAAACACTTGACCGCGGAGGTCGAGCCAGACGGAGACGCCGTCCTGATTGCACATGCACACAAAGAGAGTGCAGAGCCTCCTGAAGGGGCAGGTACTTTTACTCTGCAAGTGGAGGGTTTCGGGCGTGAAAGACAGAACTCCTTCGTCGAAGAGACTGTCGAAGAAGTTATCAGGAAAAGCCTAGAGAGTGTTAGCGCTTTAGAAATCGTTAAGATAGAGCCAGATCTTTCTCTTGTGACGGCTCATGCTTCCGGAGGCGCTGTTGTTGAGGGCAAAGACGTAGAGGTGAAGGGTACCAGCAGGTCGGGGGAAACTGCTGAGGAAACGGAGGGATTTGCACACGTCGGGGCGCTGGCGAACATCAGAAAGGAGTCACCGGCAGGGAAAGAAGAATCTGGCGGGCAAGAGCATGGTAAATCAAAGCAGGAAGAAGCTGCAGGTCCTGAGGCCGATACAGTTGCAAATGCGGATGCTGGAAAGTGTCCAGAAATAACAGTGGAGGGCATTGGCTCCTCGCCAAAAATGGGAGGTGATCTCGAGACTTTCCTGGTTCATGCAGACATGTGCGAGTCAGTTTATTACGACCGGAACGAAGCTGAGCCAGAAACTTGTCCTGAACCGGTCACTTCCTCAGTTGCAGACACCGCGGAGCGCCAGAAAGAAGCACTTGTGTCAGACGCCATGGAAACCGTAACGCAGACACCACAAGCTGAGGGGACGTCGAGAGCAGCAGGGGCTGAAGATGGGCAGCAGGCGCCGGGCATCGAGATCAGTCCACCCCCGGATGTGGAAGTTTCGAGTGTCATTGCGTCCAGTGATTTAGAACAGGAAAGGGATGAAGTGGAGGACGGCTTCTGTGGTGACAGTGCTGGCTCTTCAAAGGACACGGTGGAGGAGGCCGAAGCAGACACGGTCTCGGATGTAAAGAAAGAACAGCCTGAGGACGTCACGGTCGATGAAAGTGATGAGGCAGGGACTTCTGAAAGCGTTTCATATACTGAAGGTGAAGCAGAATTGTCCGTTGCAAGTGATATTGAATCGCGAAGCGCCATGAGCGAGGTAGAGGGGGTAAACAGTTCTACTTCCGAAAGTGGTATTGATAAAGCAGAGGTTGAAACAGGCGAATCTGAAGCTCAGTTCCCTGCAACAAACGTAACTGTCACTGAGACGGTTGAAGCCGAAGCAGTTGTTGTTAAAGTCATTACAGCAGAAAGTGCTGACGGCGTTTCAGAGGAGCGTGCAACAAAATCTGCAGCTGAAGTTACTGACGATGAATCGGGCATGCAAGTGATAGAAAAAAGCCGGGTTTCCGAAAATGAAGCTAAGACAGTAGTTATCACTGAGAGTGACGAAAGTGCAATACAAAAATGTGTATCCACAGAAAGCAATGAAGATGATTCCGAATTGAGTGTATCAGATACTACAATAGATGGCGTGGTAAGCGAAGCAGAAGTGTCAGCTATACTTGAAAGTGCCCAGGGAGAAACAGAAAAGCTGGATACAACAGAAAGTACTGAGGAAGAAACTGAACTCTCTATTACGACAGAGGAAAAAACCGATGAGCAAGTCTTAGCAGAGGTCCTTGAGAGCAGAGCCGAAGACGCTGCCGCATCAGAAAGTATCGAGGATGAAGCAGAGCCTTCTACAACAGCAAGTAGTGAGGCTGCTTCACCTGCGGGCACAGAAGTGCGTGAGGAAGAAACAGAACTGTTAGTTACAACAGAACGTACGGACAAACAAATACCTGTAGGGGATGAAGATGAATTATCTGGCGCAACAGACAGTGTCGGAGAAGAAACGAAGGAATCTGTTAATTTACAAAAAGAAAACGCAGTTGCCATAGAAATTAGTAAGACTGAATCAGAAACGCCCGGTCCGTCAGATAGTACTCTAATAGAAAAGACAGAGGACGACAGTGAAGTACAAGAGACTGATGTTACAGAAGAGGTGACAGAGGACGAGTGCGAGAGTGTGACAGACGTTACAACAAAAAGCACTGATGATGAGATAGAAGTCCCAATTAAAACAGAGAGCACTCAAGAAGAAATTTCTCCGGAAATCGTGAACGAGGAAGCAGAGGCGCCTGTACCTGGAGAAACAGAACAATTTTTATCAGAAGTTCCCATGTTGAAGGAAACGATTGAGAGTGAAACGGGAGCACAAGTCACAGCAGAAGGCACGGAAGAAAAAGCAGAATTACTTGTAACAGAAATCAGGAGTTTGGGAAATAATGAAGAGAACGTTCCGTTAGAGGACTCTGTTACGGCAAACACCGTCGAGAGTGAGATACAGGCACAACCTCCCGGGGCGGGCGCTCCGGTAGTTGAAGTATCTGTTGAAGAGAACGAGGAGGATGTGTCAACAGAGGAGCTTCTTTCATCCGGAAGTATTAGGAGTGAATTGGGAGGAACGACGAGAACAGAAGGTACGGAAGAAGAATCGGTTACAACAGAAAGTTATGAGGAAATAGAAAAAGAGATCCCGTGTGTAACAGATGTTGAGAAGGGTGTCCCGCGTGAAACGGATAGCGTGCAGGATGAAACAGAAGTCCCTGCAGGATACGTCAGGGAAATCCCTGAAATAATTGTTGAATTAGAAAGTACCGAGGAATCGTCAGAAATTTCTGCCCAGACTAGTACTGAGGATTCATCAGAAATTTCTCGTGCATCAGAGAGCGGCGAGGAAGTATCAGAAACATCTGTTGCAACGGAAAGTGCAGAGGATGTTTCAGAAATATCGGTTGCTACAGAAAGTGCAGAGGATGTATCAGAAATATCTGTTGCAACGGAAAGTGCAGAAATATTTGTTGCAACAGAAAGTGCAGGGGAGGTATCAGAAATATCTGTCACTACAGACAGCGCTGAGGAAGTTTCAGAACTCTCAGGACCATCAGAAAGCGCCGAAGAAACGTCAGAAATGTCTGTAGTATCAGAAAGCCTCGAAGGAATATCAGAATTGTCAGTTATATTAGAAAGCACCGAGGAGCCTTCGGAAGTGTCTCAGGCAGCGGAGAGTGTCGAAGGAACGACAGAGGCCTCAGTTGCAGATGCAACAAAGAGCGTCGAAGGAATGGTAGAGGCCTCCGTTGCACCAGAAAGCATCGAGGAGACAGCAGCTGCAACAGAGAGCGCCAAGGTCGTGCTAGAGAGCAAAGAGCATGAGGCTGAGGTGTGTGCGACAGGGAAGGGTGCCGAGGGAGAGTCAGAATTACCTGTTGCAGCCGAAGGAATTTGTGAGCAGGGGGAGGAAAAATCGCGGTCGGAAGTCGGGGATCAAGTCCATGCGAAAGCGTCGTTACCCAGCGGTGAGCAGCCTTTCGTTTTGGTTTCGGTTCTGACCTTTTCTGACCTTGCCACATTCGGGTCGTCCCTCTGGGCGTAACCTTGCCTTACTCTTGCAATGAATGCTAGGTAAGTGGCATTATTCTCGCTTGATTGAGCTACGTTGATTAAATGATGCAGCCTTCATTGTCGACAAGACCTTAGTATGTGCAGAAAGGTCACACTTTGTGTAAAGTGTGTGTGTACTTGATTCGGTTTGCTTGAGTTATGTACAAGTGTCAAGGCATTTCTATATGCGCAGGTGTACTGATGAGGATCCATAGTTGTGAAACCTTTTTATATTGCCTGCTTCTGTTCTTATTCTTGCACTCCCCCACCTCTCTCTCTCTCTCTCTCTCTCTCTCTCTCTCTCTCTCTCTCTCTCTCTCTCTCTCACTTTCACTCCCATTCCCACTCTCACTCCCCCCTCCTCTCTCTCCGTCTGTCTGTCTCTCTTCTATCTCTCCCTCTCTTTCCCTCATTCTCCTTCTACCTCTCCGTTCCTACCTCCCCCCTCCCTCTCCCTCTCCCCCTCCCCCTCTCCTCTCCCTCTCCCTCTCCCCCTCTCCTCTCCTCTTTCCCTCTCTCCTCTCCTCTCCTCTTTCCCTCTCTCCTCTCCTCTCCTCTTTCCCTCTCTCTCTCTCTCTCTCTCTCTCTCTCTCTCTCTCTCTCTCTCTCTCTCTCTCTCTCTCTCTCTCTCTCTCTCTCTCTCTCTCTCTTCTCTCTCTCTCTCTCTCTCTCTCTCTCTCTCTCTCTCTCTCTCTCTCTCTCTCTCTCTCTCTCTCTCTCTCTCTCTCTCTCACTTTCACTCCCATTCCCACTCTCACTCCCTCCCCCTCTCCCTCTCCCTCCCCCTCCCCCTCTCTCTCCGTCTGTCTGTCTCTCTTCTATCTCTCCCTCTCTTTCCCTCATTCTCCTTCTACCTCTCCGTTCCTACCTCCCCCCTCCCTCTCCCCTTCCCCATCTGCCTGTCTGTCCCTTTATCTCTCTCTCTGTCCCTCTCTCACTCACCTCCCTCCCTACCTCTCTCCACCCCACTCTCATTATGCAATGCATTAGGACAAGGTGAAGTATGCAGGTCAGGTAGAGCGGCGAGCTACAGGGCGGGTAATGATGTGCGTGTATGACTTATACGAATAACCAGTTTGTCGCTGCACACGTATCTGCCACGTGTGGACGTGCATTTTCGCGACGTGTACACCTTGCCGGCACACGGCCATGTGCGCGAGAGGAGACGAAGGGAAACTTGCAAGAGGGAGGGCCGGGCGGCCGACTGTGCATGACTCATGACGGGGGAACCTGGAGGGGGAGGTGCGTCACCTCCGCGCGTGATCATGAAGCTTTATTGATCCTCGGGGAGTCGAGGTGCTTTCGAAGACCTGGAGTGCTAGGCTCTGGGCGCCTTTGCATAGTTCTGCAGGTGGCAGTCCTTGTGTGTGAAGCGCCTCCGTCTCGCAGGCACAGGCGGTGGAGCGGGGAGGTCGCAAGCAGTGGTGACCTTGCGTCTCGCCGCCACGACCCAGCAACTAGCATCACGTAACGTCTGCAGCCTTTCCTTCTTTCTTTATTTCTTTCTTCTTTTAGATTACATATTTCTTTCCTCTGAATATCGCTTTTGCTGCGTGTCCCTTTTCTCCTTGCTTCACAGCACTGCTGTTGGCGTGTCGTTTCGGGTGCCTCGGGATTTAACTGCTCTCTATGATGTGACAGTGACGTGACAGTAAAGACTTGACGTTACGGGACAGTTACACAGGAGTGACTTAAGAGCGACGGTGCCATGCGCAGCTTCCAGGACCCCCTCCTCCCCCAACACATCTCGGGAGCGCGGATCCCCGAGGGCTCAGTCCTGCCAGCCTCTCGCACCCTCTGCGGCTCGCCCTGCACTCGGCTGCTTCCTGTCTTTGCTGGACGGTATTCTGATAATATGTAAGAGAGAGAGTACGTATGTGTTGCGTGTTTGCTTGCCAGCATATTTGTTTGCCTGAACCTTGATCTTATGAATGGTGATAATAGTTCATATTTTTGGAAGAGGTTGTCGTGTCCACTGATATCATGGCACCAGTGATAACTCAGGTACATCTCCTGATATGGGAAGCGACTTTCATTTTTTGTAGTGTAATAAACATTGCTGTATTTATGTGACTGTCGTAAATGAACTCATCGTAACGCTGTGGCATTGCAAACACAGTTTAGGTCGGCTGTAAAGCAAATGTTCATCGTTTTCCTCTCTTTTCTTTTCCCTTACCTCGTTCTCCCGCTTTCCTTCCGGATGTTCCCTCGTCCATCTTTATCCGTTTTGTTCTCGTCATTTCCAAACAAGTTCATAGATTTACAATGAAATGAATGTGCATAAACCTTTGACGAAATTATACAAAAAACTAAGCCATATGTTATAATGCTACTAGTATAATTAGTTTGCTTTTATATAATGTCTAAAATGTAGAGAACAGCAGATCTTATTAAGCAACCATCGATGGATAAGCACACGAGCAGAAGCGAAGGCAAGCAGTCGGGGAGGGAGGAAGTGCGGGAGAGAGAGGGAGAGTGTTGGATCAGCGCCCGTTGCGGTGTAGGCTCGGAGACTCGACCCCGAACATGAGGTCATGGCTCCACCCCTCTTCCCTCCCTCTTGACTCCTCCCCATCCTCTTACCCCTTCCACCACACGCATTAATATCCTGCACAACTCCCCCTTTCTGCTTTACATATGTAAGCACCAGTCCCTAATAACTTCACACGCCAACACTCACGCCTCGAGTTTTGACAAGGCCCACCTTGAACTTCCCCAAGAGGAGCTTTGAAATCGCCTCGCCGGACGGTCCAGCCTCCAGATTTAGGGCGCGAGGAGTTTTCTTTCATTTCTTATATAACTCTGCCTGTCCTGATGCCCGGCTCGTGAAAAAGTGCCGTCAATGCTATGGCTATTTCATCTTTGAGCTGGCAGTGCCGTTTGTGACTGCATGTCTTGAGAGGCACCCGGCCCTCTGCTTGAGGACATCCGCTGCCGTCGGGAGACCCCGATTGCCACGCTTGGCACCCCTCGCACAAGGACCCCTTTGCCTCCCCTATGGAAGCCTCCGGGCGAGCGCGCTCCTGCCACTCCTTGCTCCTCCGGGATGACTCACTTTCAGGTGCCGCCGTTCCTTCGCTTCATAAACGAGCCATTTTCCGATAGCATCTCGACTTCTCTGCACACGAATGGTCGTCTTCAGGCTCGTCGTATCATTGGGCTGTGTCGAATCGATGCTCTCTGCTTGGCCAGGTTTTACGTTTATGTGTGGGGATTTGTTGGGACAGCTATTCTCTATTCCGCCCTATGTCATTTTATTTACTATCTCGTTTTCTTGATTTTTAACCAGTTTCATTTTTTTCCTTAAATTATTTATTTATTCATCGTATCCTGTTTTACTTATGTTTTCATGCATTTCCTTTTGTCGCCCTCCCTTTCCTCCCTTCGCCTTCGTTATCCTTTCCTGTTACGTCTCTCTCTCTCTCTCTATCTCTGTCTCTATCTATCTGTCTATCTGTCTGTCTGTCTGTCTGTCTGTCTCTCCCTCTCTCTCCTCTCTAGGATAAGACGTCAGTTTGGCAGTGCAGCGGATTAGTTATTACTGTTATTACTATCGAGCTTCTTTTCCACAGTTGTATATATTTTCGATTCGCTTTAATATATTAATTTTGGGGTTCTGTTCGAGAGACTAATATTATTGTGTGTGTGAGTGTGTGCTTGTGTACCTGCGTGCGTGCGTGTTTGTGTTATATATTTTTTCCTTCTCTTCTCCCTTTACCTCCGCCTCTCTCCACCTCCTTCCCTTCCTCCAGCCTCTTTTCTTTCCTTTCCCTTCTATTCCCTCATCCGTCCTTGCCCCCTCGACGATAATCACGTTCGTGACTTGGCCGGGGGGAAATTAGTTATCGATCACGTGGTATGAGTGTTCTATACAAAGTGATCAGAGGGTCTCATGTGGACCCCCCTGTCTCGCCCTTCTCCTCTCCCTTCTTTTCTCACTCTACCCAAAAGCTTTATCTCCTCTTTCCCCTCCCTTCTTTCTCATCTCTCTCCCTATGCATGGTCCCTGGGATCTGCGCTGCGTTGTCGTCACGTTCAACACGGCCTTTTTGTGTGGAAAACGCAAAAATCGTAGAACAGGAATCCATGTCGATGCGTGTCCGATGCTGTTTTTGCTTTGGGTACTTTATTGCTTGGTTTATTTTTTTATGGTTCCCTGAAGTGTGTACGACAGATATTATAATATTTTTAATGTATGAATGCGCGTAATGTGTGTGTGTTTGTATGTATGTATCTCTGTCGGTCTGTGGGTCTTCGTAGGCCCCAGACGCCAAGAACACAAGGCTGGTTAGGGTAAGAAGCGCTCCTGTTCCCAGCACCTTCTTGGGCTTAGGCTGCCCTGGCCTGCCCTTGCTTGACCAGCCGAGCACGTCAGAACAGGTCATGACCACACCTGGTCGCACTTTAGTGTTGTTACTCTAACGTCGCTTACACTCGACAGATCATCAGACCGGTTGCACCCGTTTATTCGGCCTATACACGCATACAATTATACATATGTAAACACACGAAAATATTGTTTTTTTATATAAAAAGAGATGCCTCAGCACATCGGAATTATTCGTTAAGCATTAAAACCAAAAGTGCACTATAAACTGTCATTACAAGGTGTATATGACTTTATAAAATGCAATGGCCAGGGCTTTGCCGAGAAGGGGATCTCGCGGCTTTTTGGTGGATGGCGTCCGTGGCTCGTCAGTCGTCGAGGGGATAAAGGGTGCTGCAAGGGGAGTGGGGGCTGGGTAGAGGGCGCCCCCTCCCCCCTTCCCTTCGCCCTACACACCCCGAACCTTATTGGTGTTCTTACAAGTGAGTCATACTACCATCTTTGTCTCGCTATTGGGTGGTTTATGTAAGAAGGTGTATGTTTCTGGAATTAATTTTTAACTTTATGTGATTGGGTGAGTGCTGATCC